TTGTCTGCCCCTGGCTGGTTATTCCTGCTCTGTACCTCAGTAATGTGGTTTTAAGCCTGATCACCTGGCAGGGGTAATTGCTGTGGTGCAGAAAACATAATTCTGACAGTGCTGCCAAAGCCAGGCTGCCTGCAGTTCACAGCCTGCCTCCATCCTTGAGCTCCAACTTGTCTCTTCCATGAGAAGTCCCACCTTTAGGTGTCCCTCTCCCAGAGGCGCTCACCATGGCTTCTCAGGTGGAAATGCATGTTGGCTGGTTAGTGGCTGCTACTGTAACAATAATCTGTTTCCTTTAAAGAGGTTAATGATCTAAACTGAAGCAGTGAAACCTGCCAGTTTCACTGGCCAGGTCATGTTCACAAAAGACATGGCTCATTTATTCCTTATGGTGAAAATTTTATTTTTCCCATGTTTGCAGTGGTCGACACTCCTTACTACTTAATATAAAGATTCCTGCCAAAAATGAGGACTTTAATTATGAAAATAGTAGAAAAGCTTCTTCCTCCCCTGAGAAATATATAGTTCATATATGTGGACAGAAAGAGGCCATCATCATCAGGCCTCTGTGCTAAGGGTGTTGAAGCCACAATGATAAAATGACTTTGAAACAATGACAGGGAGAGTTCTTCTTAGATATTTAGATGAAGTTCCTCCTAAATGTAGATGCAGTCTGGGAGACAGTAATTGCTGGGGACTATAACTGGTAAGGGCAGAAGAAAGTGCTGTGGTGGACTGTAGGCTGCAGGACATGTGAAGAAAAATGTAGATGGTACAGAAATAGCCTTTAGAAGTCTTCATAGCCTGCTTTTATAAGACAGAAGGTGAGTATCCCTATAATTTCTACTACACTGATGAAGAAACCTGAAAAAGCAAAGCTGATATGTCACAGCACAAGGTTAGAGCTACAAGCTCATTTGACTTAATTTGTGTTTCTAGCCACAGTTCATATCACAAATATAAGAGCCAAGATTTACCTGCCCTTGAGCTTCTTAGGCACCATGATTTGGCCCTGGACTCTTTTCATATTCAGGCTGTTTTGCTGCATCACTTCAATTGTGTTTGCATTGGTTTGACCAGAGAAACCTTTACAGGGCCCCAGTCCTTTCAGCAAGGTTATTAACAGTATGTGGTAGGTACTTTGCAGGTATTTTAAATGAATGAAATCCTTTACGAGTTTGTGAAAGTAAAATGCAAGACCATAAAATTGATAGGTTAAAATCAATCTAATAAATGGCCAAGCAAAGGCATGCATTCCCATAACATTTTATGACTCCAGTGAGAAGTAAGACTACAAAAATGCAAGTGGATAAAACATAGGCTGTTGTCATCTTTATTCTCTGAAGTGCAATTGCCAATAATGGCTTTTGTCTCAAAACTTAAATATGGAAAATAGTAAAACCGCATGTCACACAAGAAGGAATAAAATGTATTTTAATAAAGCACATCTTTCTACTTTAAATAAAGTCAAATACATTTTCCCATTTTCTTCTGAAGAACAACCATGGCACAGTGCCTCTGTCCATGCTGCAAACATGTAAAAAACTTGTCAAATGTCAAGGCCCAGCCTCTCAGTATTTTTAAAACCACACAAGAGATATCAAGTTGTGTATCATACAATAACAAGAGCTAATAATAAAAGATACTTTCATCTGGAAGAAGTCTGTGTCCTTTGGCCTTCCTGAACATCCATTTTACATTCCATAAAGCTCATAGGCTTGTCAATTCCACCATCCTCCTTAGCACACCGCTAGTCTAAAGCAAACTATTCTTTTCCATGTGTAAGCATTTTCCAGGAAATCTTTTCTGGAGCCACACAGTAATAGATATTTATTACTAACCCAACTTTCATGAAGCCACTGTGCCCATATTTAGCGTTTGGTCAACATTACACTGCTGGAATAAGGGCTCTCCTGACCCAGGGGTAGAGAGGACATATATATATATATATATATATATATATATATATATATATATATATGCATATCCTGCCACCTGAGCTGAGAGTGAGGTTAGATTGTGGTGGGCTACCAACTTCGCCCCAGGCAATGAGTGCCAGAAGTGCTCAGTGAAAGGATTAAAGCTGTGCACAGTTCTACTTTTTACTCCAAAAAGAGGATGTTGTACTTCTGGACTTACTGGATTAAGGTTTTTCTGAAACAGGATCGTACTCATGGGGGAATTACAAACTGACCCTGCATGTTCAGCATTAGGCACAGGAGTACCTTTCATATTCGTAAAATTCAGCAGAATCTGGCATCAGGATGACAGTTTCAAGCCCTTTAGGCATAGAATTTTCAGCTTAGGCTCATTTCCCATGAGCATGCAGTGACAGGCACACAGGGCTTTGTGTGATTTGAATACTTTAAGTAAGTTGGAAGCATGGCATCAGTCAGATGAAAAAAGAAAGATAGAGCCAAATATTTAATGCTTAAACCTACAGGATGGCATATGCCAACTTTAGCCTAAATTGAGAACCCCCAGCCAAGACCTTGTGGAGTCCAGCTGAAGCCAGAGCTCCTACTCAGTGCTGAGAGGCTCAGAGGTTTATTGAGTGACACAGTGACACACAGGCTGTGGGGAGACCAACAACAGCAAAAATAATTCTATTGCAGAGGTAGAAAATACCAGTCAGAATGAGCAGAGGTCAAGTGCTTTCATTGTTTAAACAGAAGCAGTGCAAGGCTGCTGTCTTTAAAAAAGAGGGGGTTACTCTCGCGGTTCTCTTCCTAGAAGTTTCACTTCCTTAGGGTGTGTGGTTATTTCAGGTTAGCACAGCAAGTGCCAGAAGAGAAGGCATTTTATTTGCTTGGGGTTTTTTTATGTTGAAGAACAGGCAAGACCACCATGTCCTGGAATAAGAGAAGGGATTACAAAAGCCTACCCTGAACAAAAGGAACTGTGTGGAGATCTTGCTACAATACAAGGGTTTACAGTAATTCCTTTCCTGTGAAGCCACACTGAGCTCTCTGAACAGCTCTCTGAACAGTAATATGTGGTACTTGGGACATGCCTAGCTTGACAGTGATGTGAAAACTCTTTTTGTGGTGATCACTGAGCTCTCTGAACAGCTAATACGTGGTACTTGGGACATGCCTAGCCTGACAGTGATGCGAAAACTCTTTCTGTGGTGATCCAAGGTGACCAACCCTCTGCCACATGCATTGTTCTGTGAAAGGCTACATGCCTCTTTATGGGGAAGTGAGTGTCTTCAGGTTGTTTGCTTTTTCCGGTTTTGTATCACCACTTTGGGCCTGGCACTATTCTCTGTGAAGTCAGTTTAGCAGGAATAGGATCTGCTCTGTCATCTTGAGTATCGCCCACCTGCTCTCAAAACCACAGATTTCTCTAAAGAAATGTCTGCAGGTGCTATAGAGCAAGGCTGCAGCAAAAAGTCACATGCCTTTCTGTTTGGAGAGATGAGGCTCAGTTGTTTGTTTGTATTCTTTATATATGACTGTGCTTCAGAGAGAGCTAAACCCAGCTTTATTATGGAGGAGCAAAATAGAGACAATATACAATTGGGACATCACTGCAGCTGCTTTAACTCCACATGCCTTGTATTTGGAACCTGAATGATGTTAGCAGCTACTTGTAATGTTATCTATTGAAAAGAGTATGGTTTAGTTATTTAATTATGCATTTTACAAAAACCTATTATCATTCACCTTTGTGCCACCCCATCATGCTTATTCCTGCTACCCCAAGCTGATCCAGCCTTGACACTCTCCAAGCACTGTTTTTTGGCTGATCCTCCTAACAGTGGTCTTGCCTGTGGAGGCTCTGCTGGTTTTTTTTCTCAGAGGTTAAACAGCAACTGAATTTTTACCATGCGAATTCCTGTCTTCCTGAGCCACAGATGTCACCCTGGCAGAAACTGGCTTAAATGTTATAATACATAGTGTGAGTGTAACGACCTCTGACCTCCCCAAATTATACAAACAGGAAGGGTCTCTCCTGCCCCAGGCCATGGCATGACCCAGGGAACTCACTTACTGCTTTCCTTGGCCCTGTCGAGCCCCTCTGCCTCAGAAAGCCTGATGCTAAAGGCCACTGCCCTCCATCAGAATCCCATTTTGGATGATGCATCCTACATCACTGCGCTGTCATTTGCTTCACCTTCACTATATAAATCTTAACCCTGCAGCTCCGAGGCATTTGCAGGCATCCAGGAATCTCCCACACGCTTCCTTGCACTACAGTGCTGCTCCGGCTTTGCCAAATACCTGCTGCCGGCTGCTGCGGCCCCCGTGCCCCTCTCTCTGGGGCACTGCAATGCACGGGGTTCCTACGGGAAGGAGCGACTGCAGCACAAACCTCCCCATGTCCCTCCAGTAAGCGACGCTGCTGGAGGCTCCTTCAGGGCTGCCGTCCCGCCAGACTATTATTAAAAGGCCGAAGGAGTCCCAGGGCACCAGCTGTGTACTCCCTTCCTCCTGTTTTTCCTCTCTGTGCTGGCCCCGCTCCCGCCGGAGGTGCAGGCTCGGTTGCCGGGGGCTCCATCGAGGTTTCCCGGGGCGCAGGTCCAGCCTGTGGCTGACAGCCTGCCAGTCTCCCTCTTCCTCCCTCAGCTGGCCGGGACGGAGGCTTAAAGAAAAAAAAGAAAACAAAAACAGAAAAAAACCCTTCTGGGGTCACTGGGAGGAGAAAAAAATTCCTCGTCATGTCTGTGGTGTCTACGAAAAGGTCCCGAGAAGGAAGAGGAGGATCCCGCCCCGCGGGGACCGCAGGGTTCGGCGGAGGGGGGTGGGCGCTGGCCGCGGGGCAGGG